GTGTGTGTGTGTGTGTGTGTGTGTGTGTGTGTGTGTGTGTGTGTATTCCTATCCTCTTAAAGAGAACATAACAGAAAATGCAAGGACTAAGGCAGAAGGCTTTGGCTGTATTTTAACCATCTGATATCACCATGTCATTTTACTTTCTCATTATGAACCTAAATTCTCTGTCTAACCATGCACCCATCCATCCATCCCATTCATCCATAATCTAAAAATGATTTTTGTTCTGGTAACTTGGAGGCCTTCCATGCATATTATATGGCTTTCCGCTGATATAGAAAGGTATGGTTGCTGTTACAAATGGCATGAACGTGCAGTTACACCATAACCATCAATCTCTCTTCAGCTTACTCTGCTACCAGTCTTTCTCTGTTTAAGCCATTACCTATCCTGAAATATAAATCTGACCATGATACTCCCCTGCTTACAAACTTTTAGGGCTCTGACATTAAAGAGTAAAGTCCAAACTCCCTACGAAGACTCAAAGTTTTAAAATCTGACCAAAGTATACCTGTGCAGTCACTCTTCACCTCCTGTCATCGTTCCTTCTACACCACAGGCTAATGTAACCACCATTCTTTCAACATGCACACATGCTCCTTCATACCCTGTTTGTTGCCTTTGACATGCTATTCCCAGTATTGCTCTTAATCTCTCTAACCAGTTTATCCTTCAAAACACAGTTCAAATGTCACCCCATCTAAGAAGGCCTCCCTCACATCTATGGATGACAAAACCAGTCACTTTCTGTGCTCTCATAGCACTTTGCTATGGTTCTATAATAGTGCTACATCATAAATTGACCTACAAACATATTTTCTTTATAGCCAATATGAACTGTGATCATCATTATTTCCAGAGCACTTAGTTACTACTTCCTTAAAGGTAGTAAATGCTGAATAAATGTTTGTTAACTGAATAAATTCATGTATACAGTATTTTAAACTTTGACTTCTATTTAGGACCTTATAACACTGAGCTCCAGAAAAGGCTGTCAGAAACAGCCTTTCCCACCAACCTCACAGTGAAGATTCTTCTTTGATCTCTGGTGCATAGCAACATGAAAAGAATAAGATTCGCTTTGCTAGCTGGAAAGAAGAGCATTCAGAAACTTTAAATTTGCTCAGTGAAGAGTTAATGTAGAAGCGGAGTACTACAGTAAATAAAGTGTGATCACTTGAGCCGGAAAATTGGGGTTCAAATTCAGGTCACTGAGTGTCCTTGGGCAAATCTCTTAATCTCATGACAATTTCCCTATCCATAAAACAAGAATGATAACAACAAATATGTCACAGTATAAAGCAAGGCCTCTAGAGTCAGTAAATCCCTTAACCTCTCTGGTGACAATTTCCCTACCTGTTAAAGAAGATTTAAAGACGATGATAAACTCAAGAGAGTTGCAAGGCTTAAATAAGGGCTGACATGTGAAAGTACTGCTTAAATAAAAGCTATCATCAAATGTAAACAGTTTTCATAAACTTTACTAGCTATGGTAAATGTGAAGATTACAACTAAGAGGAAGGTGTGGGGAAGTATGCAAAGGATAATAAAAGCCAGGGTCTATACCAGCTTATGCTGGCTTCCATAGTTCTATTCCCAAGCCAACACTGAGAGAGGTTCAGATAGAAGAAAATATTTTTTGGAGAAATGCTAATTTATTCATAAAATATTTATCGAGCACTCACTGTGTGCCCAGCACTAGCAATGACAGCTCAGTCACTGTCCTAAGTAAGTGACTACACTATCTCGAGTATGTGTTCTCACAAAGACGAAGATAGATGAAAAGTCAGTATTTCTTAACCAAACTGAAGTATAGAGCCCTATATTCACAGAAGAATATTAACTATTCTACTCCAGGTAGATTATGCAGAGATTTAATCTATAAGAATAGGTACATTTACCTACCACACAAGTTTCACAAGGATTTTTTTAATGAAACATACTCACCCAAGGCAGGGTATCCAAGGTAAAATCGATCTGCTCCCAACCATCCAAGAAAAAGAGACAGTGCAACAGCCACTTTATATGAATAGCCATTTCTGCACAAAATTAGAACCTGAGTGTCACCTTCAACATGTAACATTTTAGAAAACAAAACTGCTAGTTATTATTTATGTTAATTAGTTCATTCATTCATTCATTCATTCCTTCATTCAATTAATGCTTTTTGGGTAGCTACTGCATGCCAAGAACTATTCTAGACTATTGGAATATTTTAATGAATAAAAGAGACAAAGATCCCTACCCCTAAAGAGCTAACTATCTAGCGGCAGCAAAACAATAAAAATATTTACAGTAAATCATATACTAAGAAAGCCATACATGTTATGAAAAAAAATGGAACAGGGTGTGTAGGAATCCAGAATGCTAGGGATACAAACAGGAGCCATTTAAATAAGGTGATTAGAGGGCTTACTGAGAAGGTGATATTTGAGCAAAGACCTTAGGGAGGTGAGTCAGCCATGTCATGCCTCTGAAGGAAGTGTCCCAGACAACACACGGCTATCTACAAAGGCAGCACACCTTACATGTTTGAGGTCTATTAAGGAGGACACTGTGGCAGGAGTAAAGGGGGAGAAGGGAAGAACAGAAGACAACATCAGAGAGGTAACAGGGGGCAAACAGGACAGCTCATGCAGGACCTTGAATACCATTGTAAAGACTCTGTCTTTTGCTCTGAGAGATCATGGAAAACTACTGTCAAGTCCAACCTCAGTGGCTAGCTGTTCTCAACAGATGATATTCTTAGTTACTGTATTATCTATAATAATAAAAGTATAATATGCTAATTAGACTGGATGCCCTAACATCAGATGAAACCAGGGCTGCGAGGAAAGCACGGGTCCCTGGTTGCCTGTCGGCTGCCACAGGGAAACCTGGGTCTTGGGTGCCTGCCGGTGGCTGGCACTGGGGGAAGGAAGGCCTACTCTTGCACAAATTTCATGCATCGGGCCTCTAGTAGCCTAATATCTTAGACTAGCACTTAATAAATTGCCATTTGGAAAGTTTAAGGTAGAAATATCAATCTATAAATTTCAAAATTGTCTAAACCGTATCTAAATACTTTGGAAATAATTCCTTTTAACAATTTTTTACTTTACTAATGAGAACTCTTAGAAGCCAAGAATCCTAAATGATTGGCTTAGCAAGATAGAATCTAAAGCCCCTCATTAATTCAGTGAAGTAGGGTCAAAAGAAAAAAAAAAGGCTCTAATAGTAATTTCTAAGAATTCTAATAGAACTTGTAAAGCCAAACAGTGGTTGTTTTTTTTATAAATTCAAATAGATATCATCAAATAGCTGCAACAATGTACAGTTAAAAGGTAAAAATATAGTGCCAGCAATTAATAAAAGTGAATAAAACTAAGCTTTTAGCACAAAGCAAAAAGAGAGGAATAAAATGTTAGCTTTACTGAAGCAAAATTAAAAGCAAACTTAAAAGACCTTTAAACAAAGAATATTCCTAACAAAATAAAGCCATTTATCTTAATATCCCAAACTAACATTTGAATTGTTTTACATTACCATTCATCATCCATGCCTATTACAAAAAATGAAACCAAGTTTCAAAATTCCCTTAATATGCAAATGACTCAATAGTTAGCATTCTTTTAATAGCACAAGTACACAATCTTTTATTTTGCACTCTAGAAATCCCCCAAATTTTGAGAACATTAATTTTTTCCTAACTAATTTGGGTAGCCTAAATGACTGAACTGACATGCATAAGGCCGTTCAGTCTTCATTTTCCCAAGTAGTGAACAATAGAGCTTTACTTGCTTGGTAAATTGCATTTATAAAACAATATAATATACACACTTTAAGAAGTTTTCTGCCCTAGCCGGTTTGGCTCACTGGATAGAGCGTCGGCCTGGGGACTGAAGAGTCCCGGATTCGATTCTGGTCAAGGGCATGTACCTTGGTTGCAGGCACATCCCCAGTTCGGGGTGTGCAGGAGGCAGCTGATCAATGCTTCTCTTTCATCGATGTTTCTAACTCTCTATCCCTCTCCCTTCCTCTCTATAAAAAATCAATAAAATATATTTTTTAAAAAAAGAAGTTTTCTGATAGAAGCAAAAAGTTAAATTAGTGAAGAACTTTCCCCATAAATTACCTCTTTATCTCTTCACTGAATGCAATCAAGATACAACATAAGCAAGTGATCTGAAAATTTAACTTCAGTAAGGTACTTACACATTTCGGCAAGATATGGGCTTGAGAAAACCAACTTCATGTCCAGTAAAATGTGTTTCATTGCCACTGAAATCTTTACAAGTTATGTTGGGTGCTGGAAAACATGGAACTAAAGGCAGAAAAAGGCAAGAAACCAGTTTTTTTTTTGTAGTTAAGGTGTGATTATGTATTTTTTTTTAAGACTAGCAAAGCACACAAGAGAATATAACGTGTAGCAAACCACTTCCCAATAGAACATCTGACATGGGATTTTAATTTAGATAAGAAAAGCTACATGATAGATAGACAGACCGACAGCCAACCCTGTCTGGTGTAGCTTAGTTAGTTGGAGCGCTGACCCATGCACTGAGACGTTGGTTGTGGGTTCAATTCCTAGTCAGGGCACATGCCCTGGTTGTGGTATTACACATATTTTAGAATAGATGGTCCCCAAAATCATTAGATGAGGGTTTGCTATCCACTTTCAAAACATCTCTAAGAAAATACTGATACAAAAAAAGAAAAAAGGGTGATGCATATTTAAAATTCTTACCATACTATTCTCATACTTAGGATGTACCCAAATATATATATATATTTAAATGTTTTTTATTTATTTCAGAGGGGGAAGGAGAAATAGAAACATTAATAATGAGAAATCACCATTGATCAGCCCCTTCTGCATGCCCCTAACAGGGGATTCAGCTGGACACCGGGGCATGTGCCCTTACTGGGAATCTAACCATGACCTTCTGGTTCATAGGTAGAAGCTCAACCAGTGAACCATGCCAGCTGGACTATCAATGTATATTTTACAAGTGCATAATGTGGGTGATACAGCTGCTCACTGTACCTTACTGTACCAACAATCTCATTTCAAGTTCTTCACAAGTAATTAAAAATCTAACTGAAGCAGTACCTTTGCATAACATAGCTTGGTGAATAAAGGGCATCAAGACAGCTATATAAATTGATTCCAAAGGTTTCAAAAAATGAATGAAACCATAAAACATCCCACTTTTATAATTAAAGAGAATAAAATTCTTTTTTAAGTCCTCTAGCCAGCTCTCCAATTTTAAGTTGTTCCAGAAACTGAATAATGTTATAACTCAAGAAAAAAGAAAAAACACGCATTAATTACTTTTAGTGATCATTCATTAATCTATGAAATAGTGTTTTAAAATTTATTTTTAAAGGCACGTTTCTGGAAGTCTTACCATGAGCTGTGTAGTTTGTACAGTTAACTGGTTCTTGTGTAGCATCATTTATTTTTGGATCTTTACAAATATATTTAAGAAAAGTTAAGGAAATGTGAACTCCATTCCAACACAAAACATTACCACCTGTTTAATATCTCATATATACTTATGTTTATATTCACATGTAAAGGGAGGCTGCTAATTTATCCAGGTCAAAAAAGACAAGCACAAACATATCCTCAGTATCACTAAATAATACCTGAACATTAATTTATTACAGGAAAAGTATATTAACTTAATGTATACTAAAAGCTCTAGCAAAGAATGCCATCCTTAAAGAACATCAGTTAGGGTTTAAGCACAGAGCACACACACACAAGAAAAAATGAAAATAAAAATTTTTACCAAATTATTGTAAGAGAGCTTTAAGGTTAAAAAAAAAAAAAAAGTTTCCAGAGATTTGACTGAACTAATTTACGGGCCCTCAAGTATTGCCATCAACATAATTTCATGTAACTTGAAAACCGTATGAGGTAGATACTATTCTTCCCACATTACAGAAGGACAAACTGAGGCTCACAGTCTGAGCGACTTCTCCACAGTCATATCAATGACGGGTTGCAAAATCAGGTTTCCTGACTCCAAGCCCAGGGCATGTGCATCGGACTGTAGGGCAGATGGTGCTTCCGGTGGATCTACATGGTCTCCCCAACAGGATTTTAAGCCTTTGGAAACAGATATAATAATTATATCCTTACAGATACTTAAGACACTTGGGTGCTTTTCTGCTTCCTACTTTTTTATTGACGCTATAATGAGACAAGTAAGGAATTCACAAGATGTCTGTTTACGGTTTTGAGTCAGCATTTGAAGACCTCATTTTTCTGCCAGGAGTAACAGATATTTTCCCGTTGTCACCACCTTATCGTCCTACATGCTCAGCCACTTCTCTCTAGGGTTCGAAAAGCCCAACTCTTCCTATTGCCCAGTTATTTTCTTTGCGGGAACCGCCCTGACCTTTTTGTCGAGAAAAATAACTCAACCTGTTAATGATTCTCAAACTTCAACGAAATAGTATTCAGCAAATAAGAGCTGCTCTGCAAAATAAATAAATAAATAAATAAATAACCACGGCCTCTCCTCAACATACACAAAAATACCATAGGACAGAACTCTCTTAATTTGAAGAGTTTCCCTCCTAAAATCTTTCCTTTATCTCTGCCTTCTGCTATTAACTCTTCTGTTATGCACTTTGCACCAAAGTATCTAATTCTGTACAAGGGTCGCTATTTTAATTTGCATGCAGCTCCCATGTCATCCTGTGCCTCGGTTTACCAGAAATGTTACACCGAGCGGTCCCACTCCACCTCTTCGGCCTCCGTTTTCTCTTCGGTAAACAAGCAGCTCACACCTACAGCTCCGGCTACACGCCAGGCACCGTCCTAAGTTATCACAACAGACCTTTCCATTCATTGGTCCGTTGTGACCTATACGGCTCATCAGGAGCACACTGAGTTCAAATCCTTTGCCCCCGGCTACCGAGTGCAGCAGGCATTTGCCCCCTGGCAGTGCGGCATCGCCACGGGAGCTTGCGAAGGATAAAAGGTAAGGATCCTGGAAAGTTCATGACTCCCGGGCAGCACACCCGGCCTCATCGGTACTCACGACTACCGGTCTCACCCCGAGACGGCAAACTTCCAGGGGAGGCCCTGCCCATCGCTGGGTCACTAGTGCCGACAGCAGCACCGCGCGTGCTTCAGGATCTAGGTGCTTGGTGAGCACACCAACCCACCAGTAAAAGTAAAGTAAACATAAACAAACAGGTGGGTCCGACCAAAAAGCGCCAACAATCGTAAAATCCCTAGGAGATTTACCCAGGGCGGCCTGTTTTTCCCAGTCCCATCTCCCCTCACCTCCCAGCGTCCCCGGTGCTTGGAGGCCACCGGTCCGGGCTCCCGCCAGCACGGCCCTAGCCCGCGGCCACGGCCACGACCCCCGCGCCCCCCCCACTCCTCCTCCTGCCCGGGAGTCCCTCACAGAGGATATTGTCCCACTCTGAGGTCCTCGCACTTCAGCGTCTCCTCGCCCCCGGCGGCGGCCGCTCCCCAGGGCCCCGTGGTGACTGACACGAACCACAGGACACCCAGGAGGTGGACGGCCGCGGTCTCCAGAACTGCCGGCCCGGAGGGCCAGGCGGCCGCCATGCTGGGGACCGGCGCGTCCCTCACGACTTCCGGTTCCGCCTTCGCTGGGCGTGGACACGAGAAGGGCGAGGGAGGCGGGCTCTTAAAGGGACCCAGTCCCGGCTGCTCGCAGGTGCACCTTTCTGTGGGCCCGCTGACTCAGTGGGGAGAGCGTTGGTTGGCTTTCCAGAGGGGAAAAAGGAGAAGGCGTACCACCTCCAACCATCCCATGCTTACTCCCGAGCTAACCTGCTCTGACTGTCTGCCAAGGTCCCCGCGGAGCCCCGCGATTTGATCAGCGCTTTCCAAACATCTCTGTTAGTCCTGGTTGGATTTGGGTTTGCAGGTAACGATCCTGGCTTACAGACACCCAATAAGCACGTTGACCTTATGACTGAGTTGGAATAAAAGTGATGTTTGTCCTATGTCAGAGTCTGTGCGCTTATTATTGTGCTGTAACGGCCTCCCTGTTATCCTGGGGAATTTGCAGAGGGCTCCAGCGCACAGCTGGGCATTGCACCCTTCTTTTCCTTGGGGAACGTTTAGGGGAGGGAAAGGGCCTAGGACAGGGCACCAAAGAGTTTACCACTAAGTGAAACCTTGGAGGTTGTTTTGTTTTTGAAGATTTTATTTTTTTACTTAATTTTAAACTCTACATTAAATAACTACAATATTTTAGAAAGTCGTTTTATCACTGTTTTAATTTAGGATGTTTATCTGATACTATAGAACAAATATACAGCAGTTCCATTGAAATCCCTGTTCCAGCTTACAGGGCTCTGTCCAAGTCCTTACTGCAGGTTCTTCAACAGAAAAGTAGAATTATTACACCTCCAGCGAGCCATAAGAGATTGGAACTGGATTACAGTTGTGTGTGTGTGTTTTTAAAATAAATGTGCTTCGTTGGTAACGAGGATATTTAGGTATCACTGTTTTGTCTAACCTAATGGCCCCAAAAGCTACGTGAACATGTGATTCACCAGGGTGCTTGCTGTTAAAGATGTAAATTCTTGGGCCTCATCCCTAGAGATTCTGATTTCTGGCTCAAGAGAGGGGAACCACTTTTCTAATATAATTCCTTTACTTGCAGATGAGTTATTGGTTATGCAGACACATCCAGTGGTTTGAAAATAGGAATTGATCTTTGGCTTTTCAGTTGAGCTGGTTGTAATTAGACAAACTGAAAGCAGCAGAAGAGTTGGCGTGGTTTTTTTCCCCTCCATCCCTTCTTTCTACATTTTTATACTAAAATTTCTGTCGTGGGGATATCTTTTGTACTGACCAAATGTATATTTTTAAGTGAAAGTTTAGTCCTTTTTTCCTAATGTGAAAGTATTTGAATTTGAATGGTGCCTCTTTGTCCACAGTAGCACTGATTTTGAAGACTTGTATTATGTAGTGATTCCCACACCTTATGGAGCATCAGAGTCATGAGGAGGATTTGTTAAAACACAGAAGGAGCCTAGGGGTGGCTCGGTTGGTTGGGTCAGTCATCCCAGGCACTGAAAGACTGCCGGTTTCATTCCCAGTCTAGGCACATGCCCAAGTTGTAGGCTCAGTCCCTGGTAGGCAGCATGCAGGCGGCAGCCAATCAGTTTCACTCTCATATCGTTTCTCTCTCCCTCTTCCTTTCTCTCCCTCTAAAAACCTTTTAAGAACCCGCACAAAAACAGAAGGATGGGCCCCACAAGCAGAGTTTCTGAATCTGAAGATGTAGGGTGGGGTAGGATAATTTGCATTTCTAATGAGTTCCCAAATGATACTGATACTATTGCTGTTATTGCTGGTTCAGAGATTACAATTAGACCACACTTGGAGAACCTTGGGATAATGTACAATATGAGAAGTATAATTTTGGAATAGGAGGACATAAAGTTATTTTTTTTTAAATATATTTTATTGATTTTTTACAGAGAGGAAGGGAGAGAGACAGAGAGTCAGAAACATCGATGAGAGAGAAACATCGACCAGCTGCCTCCTGCACATCCCCCAATGGGGACGTGCCCGCAACCCAGGCACATGCCCCCGACCGGAATCGAACCTAGGACCCCTCAGTCCACAGGCCGACGCTCCATCCACTGAGCCAAACCGGCCTCGGCATAATAATATTTTTAAAAATATATCTTCATTGATTTCAGAGAGGAAGGGAGAGGGAGAGAGAGAGAGAAACATCAATGATGAGAGACAATCATCAATCCATCAATCAGCTGCCTCCTGCACACCCCCTATGAGGGATCGAGCCCGCAACCTAGGCATGTGCCCTTGACCGGAATCGAACCCGTGACTCCAGTCCACAGGCTGACACTCTATCCACTGAGCCAAACCTGCTAGGACTCAATAATATTTTAGTATTATAACTATATTTAAAATGTTTGCTAAACCAATTTTGCAGCGTTACTGTGCTGTTCTTTTTTAAATCTCCTTCTTTGGCCCTGTGCTATCCAGGCAAATGCCACCCATAATAAGCCTTCTTTTTTCTTTAGCCAGTAGACTGCTCAATAATTATGCTACATTATTTCTAATTTACTTTCAAAGCTTTATTTGAAATATAAGCAGGTCAATTGGCTTTCAGTTACGTATTCATAAAGAATAGGTGGTCACTTTTGCCTGGGCAACTAAGCAGCATAATACCCAGCTCTTCTCTATAAGAGTTAGGACTGCACCCCCTTACTCTGTTAAACGGGTCCAGTGGCTGTCTCAGTGATGGCTACTTCTCTGGCACCACTAAGATCCAGTGACAAAAGTGTCACCTTTTCCAAGAATCAGTGAGAAAATCTGGTGTCCTAGAAAAGGTGTTGTTTTATGGGCTATGGAACACCACCAGGATCCTCCCCATCCTCCCCACCAAGGTCAGGGAAGACAGGAGGCAGCATTAAACTTTTGTACATTTACAACCCCACCTTGTGAGTCCATGCTCTCTCTAGGGACCAGCTGGTTTGGAGGAAAAACAAGGAACTTCTAGTCCTACTCCTGAACCTAGAAATCAAATTCTTAAGGAGATGGCTATTTTAAAATTAGAACATTAATGCTTAAAGGTTTAAGTGATAGGAAATTTGAAATATACTAGTGTAATGATTAAACTTTTAAAAAAATTTATGTATGGTCAAACTAAGATTAGAATGGATAACCAAGTTACTTGCATTGTTTTTTCAATAATTGTTTTCATTGTCTAAAGCTTTACATATCTCTTCTTTTTCCCCAATTGACCCCCCCCCCCCCACCGCACCCCAGTGCATTCTTTTTGTGTGTGTATTTGTGAACTCTCACCAGATCTTTTAAGTCTTTTGTCATTTGCAGGCAGTTGTTATTTTACCCTGATGCTTTTGCAAAAGTGTTTCTGCAAAGATGGTTTCATCTTCAGAGAAATTCATGGGAAGGACTCTGACACTTACTCTAAAATACAGGGTTCTAATAAACTTTCAGATCATACCATTACACTGGGTGAAGATTTGCAGAATTCTAAAACAAAAAAACTGGATTCATAAAACTGCTAACAAAAAGATCAAGATCAATAAAAATTAATAACATGGGACTGAATGAAGTGGTGACAATGATTATAATTTAATGACATCGTTGAAATATTACTTTTAAAAATCTGTTTTCCAGATTCCCCCCATCCCCGCAAGCTACCTATGACCTACAGCAGTTTGGAAAAGTATACCTTTGTAAGCAGACTTGAAACATTTACCTTTCCTTCCAGAAAGGTAACTTTCCCATGCTTACTTTAGCTCCTTCCTATCTCACAATGTGAGAGGCCAAGCACTCACTATAATAGTTATTGTTTTCTTTTTTCCCTTAATTTCTGCCTGGACAGATAACGTGACATTGGGCATCATCTTCAAACCTACTTTACAGGTCAAAAGGTGCAACTGGTTACACACATAGTCAAGAATCTTCAATGCCTAGTGATGCCAACCCCAGTATAGGTGCCAGATTTAGAAAAAAAACTTTTTCTTTAAGCAGGTATTGCAATGAATAAGTACTTGATTAAAAACTTATCAAAAACCTTAGAGAAGATTTTCTGGAGTTACCGCCAAAGCAATAGCCAACCAGGACAAATCTTTAAATTCCCTTGTGCAAGTTATATTAGACAATAGGATTGCTCTTGACCACATCCTAAATAAACCAGTTGAGGTTTGTTCTGTTGTTAATACCTCTTATACTTAGACAAAACACTTCTGGTAAAATAGGGATGGGACTAGATAAAATCCGAGCTCAGGCCAAATGATTAAATACAGTGCCCACTGACATGTCATGGTTTTCTAATACCTTCAGCTGACTGCCCTCAAATATTGCCTCCTGGTTCAGATTTATTCTTCAAATTGGACTTAACTTTTTCTTTGTTATTATAGGAATTTTTGCTGTACAAAACCTTGTTTGTTTTACATAGATCAATGTTATAAAGATAATACTCTGATAATTGTTGCTCAACATTTTGAGATGATCACTAAGGCTTATGAGACTTCGTATGAGAAACCTCTAGAAGCTATAGAAGATGTTTGCCTTTAAGGGCTTCCACTAGTCTGATGCTCCTATTGCTCAAGTGTTGCCTAATGCTCCTAAAACACCACTATCGCTCCTTTGTGGGACAGACATAACAGAAAGGAGCCGTCCCATCACTGGAGGACCAACAAGACTTTTAATAACTGACCAGTGTTGCTTTCCAATGATTGTTCAGCAATGCTTTAAGGAAAGATCTCAATCAAAAGGGGAAATACAAAATATAATATAAAGGAAGTCAATTTAAAATGGAGTCAGAGTTGCCATCCAGAGGAACTACCTTGCATGTCTTATTTCTCAAATCCTTGGAATGTTAAAACTGGGCAAAATAATCTTTGGACTGAGCCTACGCAGCACTGCATTCCAAACGACTGTTTGTAAAGCTAGGAAAGCGGACATTATGACTATTGGATTGAAAATGAAAAACATTCTTTAGAATATATCACTTTATATTCTTCACCTATAAAAATCCCTTCCTCCTATTGACATAATTGTTCCTCTTCCCCTTCTCATAAATACCCCTTGCCTTCACCTCCTAATTGGGACACTATTAGGGTTCTGCCT